GAATCCCAAATGTCAAGTCTGGATCCAATGTCGTCAAGTCTCAAGTCACAACTCTGTCTCTCTCTGTCGTAGTCTGAGAAGTCAGGTGGCGAGAGGGTGAGAAGAGAAGGTGGACTTAGAAGAGGAAGAAGAAGAACTAACTCTCTCTCTGTGTCCAGTACTAACCTGTGAAGTTGGCGTCTTGATACAGGTACCACGAAGATGGAGCTGGAGCGATGGCGCCACAGGTAAGTACCACTGGCCTCCGCCAGTCTCTCTCTCGCGCTCTACGATCTACCACCTACCAGCGCCCAGCGCTGAAGACTACAGCTACAGCTATGGCGCCCAGCACCGAAGACTACAGCTAGCCCTAATACCACCTAGCGCTGAAGACTACTGCAGCGCTCCTCCTGAGTGCGGCGGCCGAAATCCTGAAGACTACCTCGTGCCTACTGAATTACCTACCCGTGAAGTGCATGGGAACTTCCTGTGTACTTCTGGGTGTGCCTCCTGAGCCTGCCGAAGGGAGGCAGGGGCTGCAGCTGCAGCTCCTGCTCAAACTCGTGAGGAACAGGCTATTTCTGGCCAGTTCCGCATCCCTGTTTACGTGCCTGAGTCTTAGGGGCAGGTCGAAACAATGAGGGCCTGAAAATGGCCCTCCGTAAATAGGCTGAAACGGGGTAGGGCCTGCAGGCCCTCGTTTTTCAGCTTTCAGGCTGAAACGACCGGGGCCTGTAAGCCCTAAGTTTTAGGCTTTTAGGCTGAATGTCCGGGACGGGCCCTGCAGGGCCCGTGTGGCTACGCAGTATGCCACAGGCCCTGGGCGAGATTCGCAGCATAAGCCCAACTTAGGCTGTGGGCAGTTGGCCACAGGTAACTGTCGGTGGCCCTGGGCCAATTCGTTTGGTCTGAGGCTCAGCCTCCCTGGGCCTACCGGAAGCTTCTCGGCAGAGGCCCAGCACAGCCAGGCTGCACGCACGCAGGCTGGCCATTTTCCATATAGGAAAGGGCCAGGCCACGCTGGGGGCATTCGGGCACTGCCTGCTTTGTGCGCAAGCGCTGCTGCGCTATCGCCTGCCAGGCTCACGGGCGAGCTGGAAGGAGCAGGCAGCCATAGCCGAGCTGCGCTGCTGTATGCTGGATGGGGCGCATGGTGGTGCTTGGGTGCAAGTGGCATGTGTGAGTTGGGGAACGAGGTTGTGAGTGATACGAGAGACATACTTGGTGCTTGAAGCGTGCGGCATTGTTCGAGATCTGCTCGTACTTCGGGGAGCTGTTGACGTCATCAGCGGCATTGTAGAGTAGGCTAGATAGGATCTGCCATCTGTAGTCTGGGCGCCGAGCGCCAGATAGGATATCAACATTGGTTCTTCGTTGATGATGGTGATGATACTAGTCCAGCATTGTCAATTATGAGCTTTTAGTGTGCTCTTATTTGGTGAAACTCGTGATGCAATTCTGCTTTTGGTTCGAGGTCACGACTATCTGGTCTCATGTGTATGTATGATGCTGTTTGATTGCTGAAGTCCTCTATTGCTCACCTTCCTTGCATTAGTACCTGGCACGTGAGAGAGAGAGAGAGAGAGAGAGAGAGAGAGAGAGAGAGAGAGAGAGAGAGAGAGAGAGAGAGAGAGAGAGAGAGAG